AAATCGATAGTTCGATTAAGAAAAGGTATGAAATTCGAAGAATATTGCACTTACCGTTGATAGATGTGCTTCTAGACTTTTCGTCAGTTTTCACGAATGAGACGTTTTGGTTGAGTGCGTCAGCTATGATTATGTTTGCCGGAAAGAAGGAAGAAGCAGAACAACTTTCAAGATTAATTTAATATCTGGACATACGTAACTCTCCAATTCACGCAGTCGCAATGAATCTCTGTTGGTGAGATCGAGTTGCCTGATATTCAGTCCAGCCACCGCGAAACGATTGATTAATAGACCATTTTCCACGGACGGGCGAATGATCCTGATTTCCCGTGGTTTCCGCCGCGAAATACCCGGAAAATCCGCATTTCGGGTATTAGCTACGATCTGCCGTGAAATCGCGTATCCGATAACCGCACGGACCACGATAACCATCCCAAGTCTCGTCTCTCCTACGTGGCTCTCCCTACATATATACACGTGATACCTGCAATTTCCATGCACGTATCATCCTCTTTCTTTCCCCTTTCGTCCTTTTCTTTCTTTCTTTCTTTCTTTCTTTCTTTCTTTCTCTTCTCGTATCCTTGTCCTTTTCTTCGCCTCTCTCTATTTTTCTTTTTGTTCATCGTTGTTCACTCTCTTGTTTCACGACGACGTATAGATTGCCAGGGACATCGTGCGCCGTTTTGTTCGTAACATTATGGCGGCTGCACGCAGACCGAGCGCTATCGAGTTCCTTCGTATCGCGGACGATTTTCCAGGCTCGTTCCTTGATTGGAAAGGGCGAGCCACAGCGAGTGAATCGATACGACGCCGACCACGGTCACGCGGGCATCGGTATCGTTTCGCGAAATTGTCACTGGCAATAAAGGGCGAGCATGTTGCCCGATGAATGCGAAATCAGACTGGGGATGGATTCATTATTATTTAGTTTATTGCACCAAACACGTTATTAATCAGTAATCTATTAATTGATGTTGATTCATTTCGAACGAATCCAACGATTCCGATGAAATTTTCGGGTAAGGAATATTATTCTCAAGCTGTGTGTTATCATATTTCTAAAGGCCAATTTTCCAATCTCTCGGTTCAGCGGAATTTCGTCATTTTTGCAGAGTTCCTGCAAATTCCCAATTTCCGGTCCCCGCGAAATCGCATCGGCACGTCGCTAATCCAAAGTCCATTAGTTCGACCAGACGCTTTAGTTAACGATACCGTGAATTTTCAGCCGACTAAGGCAATTATTAGCGCTGCTCGACACTTCTCTCGTTCCGCTTTGTCAAGTCCACGTGCCTCGCGCCTCTCCATTCGTAATTTAGAACGTTTTGCGCGTGGCACTCCCGGTAGCTAGAATGTCTTTTGCTTGGAATCCAAGTTGAAGAGAGAGAGAGAGAGAACAGCTAAGCTCATTATAATTTGTCACTGCGATAGTGCTTATTTTGCGTTGAAAGAGTAAGACAGAGCTTTCTGAAAGCGAGTTTTAGATGTTGTTTTGAGCATGTTAATGTAATGATAATGCGGAATGAAATATACACATTTCTTGGACGAATAGTCCATAAATTATTCCATTAATTATTCATGAATTATTCCATTAATTGTTGACATTCAAAATTCATTTCAAGCTTGCGAGACACGTTCAACATCCAAAAAATTAGTCTTTTTATCCAGAAAAATATATAAACTTCTTGACAAATAGTCCGTGAATTGTTCCATTAATTGTCACTGTTCTGACATTCTAAATTCATTTCAAGCTTGCGAGACACTTTCAGCGTCCAAAAAATTAGTCTTTTTATCCAGAAAAATATATATAGCTATACCTCCTGACGAATAGTCTATGAACTGTTCCATTAAATGTCACTGTTTTGACATTCTAAATTCATTTCAAGCTTGCAAAACATGTTCAGCATCCAAAAAATTAGTCCTTTTATCCAGAAAAATATATAGACTTCTTGACAAATAGTTCGTGAATTGTTCCATTAAATGTCACTGTTTTGACATTCGAAATTCATTTCAAGCTTGCGAGACACGTTCAGCATCCAAAAAATTAGTCCTTTTATCCAGAAAAATATATAGACCTCTTGACGAATAGTCCATGAACTGTTCCATTAATTGTCACTGTTC